TCACTAAATAAAATCATGTTCATTATATTCATTCGCATCACGGATGACCATTAGATTATCATATATGCGATTACCTAGCCTCTAAGGCTAAATACCAATTGAAATCTTCTCGTATCCAACTTCCCCTGCTTGTGCCCCTTTAGTCGTGACAACAACATCCAATTTATTTTGTTGAGAAACAAATTGGAATTCTGAGATACTAATTAAACTCAACGCATAGAAACAAGTGACGGATCTCATTAAAAGAGTGAAGAAGTTGAACAATTTTTTAGAATCCTTCATAGCTCCAAGAAGATTATATGTATATGACAACATACCGATCCTCAGGACTCTATTCAACATTTGCTTTTTTACTAGGAGGTCGATAACTTTGGATCTTATACAAAATTATCATGACCCAATCATCGAGCCGCATGGGCACCTATTTTAACAACTAGATAGGAGAACCATTACCACCCAAACTGAAATATGAAATGCAAAAGTGAAAATATTATTAACCAACCACCTTATTTGAATACATAAAATACCTCAACTGATTAAAATTAAGTACATTTGAGAAATACATTTATCCTTCCCAAGGAACTTGTCTAACAAGTACAAAAGTTTGTAAGAGAGTACAAATTATGAAAGAAAACAGATAGAGCTCCCACCAAAGGGAAAGAGGAGTGGAAGCAGTCGGAGATCATCGTCCTCTTCACTAAGAAACATCACAGATCCTGCAACCAAACTATACCAAGTGGCATAGTTTAAGTATTACAAACACACATACTAGTAGGCATCATCAATCTACCTAAATCCACCACATAATATCATGTAATAAATTAAAGAAAAAACACAAGACTTGAAAAATCCACCCCTGATCCATTAGCCACTGCTCGTTCTACCAAACACTACCATCTAGATTTATAAACTTTAACATCTCAAATTTAAAAAGGGCTAGAAAAGGGTAAACATGCAAGTCCAACAACCTAAAATGGACCATGGACTATTCATGGTTCCCTAGACAGGTTGCATAGAGGTCCACAACCTGTTAAAAGGCTCGTGAAAGCCACATAGTACTGCCTTAGGCAAGAGTCCCCTGGATGGTGCCCCAAACGGCCCGTGGTGAGTTTGACAACCCGTCTAGGAGTCCGCACAAGTCACATAGTGAGAAATGTTTCATCCTAGGTCACTTTGAAGGACCATAGAGGTCTAGATGGTCCATGAAGCTTTACACGGTCCGTGAAGTTATCTGTGAAAGAGACTTATCCGACTTTGAATTTTGTGTAAATTTGAAACAATCATATATTTCATCACAAAATAAATTAGGTATCCCATGACATATCAAATTAAAGATATTTGAGTATGTTTTCCAGCGTGGCAATGTTTTCCTAACTTTGAGCCTGGAGTAAAAAGTTATGCCCCTATTAGTGAATCTTTGTCGGGCAGGGCATCATCACAACCCACTAGACATGAAGTGATGCTCTAGACGACCTGTAAATCCCCTCGTGAGAGGTACTTCGTTAGCTTTAAGTCAGGGGCATACTGGTCTTCTTCCAATTCTTTTAACCCAATACTATGTCGTTGTATCCTCTACCATAGGTCATATATAGTGATTTTTACCCCCAAAATCACCCAATTCAATTCATTTTTTTAAAATCCAAAAAGTTCATCATGTTCATCCTCTCAAATATGTTTCTCTCTAAGAATATGAATAAAGATAGTATTTCAAGATCAATTCTACAAATTCACCATTGATTGCAAGCTTTTAGCATCAAGGTATGATAATATTCACCTATGGTATCATGACTTGAATCTACACTCAGAGCGTAACTGGAAATCAAGAACCATTTCTAATCCCTAAACAAACCCTTGGCCTTGCTACATAACTAACATTACATTATACAATATGTTGAAGCTTAAGTAGGTGGACAATTAGACATTTTAAAAAGTCATAAAATATTGTCTTTGCAAAATACATAACATGAACCATTAGTTAAACAAAAATTAATGAGAAAACAATAGAAAACATCTACTCAATCGGTCTACAAAGCCTCTAACAATGTGAGATGGATGTCAGGACAAGACACATGACACCTCCTAAAGCTATTATCTAAAATGAAATTGAGTACCCCGAAAGAAAGAAGGCCTCAACAAATTCTGTCTGCGAGTAGATAATGATCTCAACGAATCACAGGTTGATGATGCAGGTCGAATTACGTCACCACATTAAATGTAGTGGTATATAAAAAGGTTAGAGTAAACAATAAGCTGGCTTGAAGGACTAAAACAACATAACTCGATCAATACATGAATATGAAGTGAAAACCCATTTAAGATTTACAATATAATATTTAATGAAAGAAACATGAAAATAATACACTTTATTGGTGGGGAGTTTCTCTAACCGACAACCATTACTATGAGCCTAGCAATGATACACCGTTTTGACTCATGTTACCAGGGCCACCATATACTTTGCTGGGGTATAGAATGATATCGTGACTATGAATCCATCTAATTTGATCTTCTCAGAGGTAGTAAGGAGTCGCATGAAGAGTCAATTATTTCCTATCCTACGTTGGCTACATAGTTCTGTAGGACTCTTCCGAATAAAACCAAACTCTAACCTTATGCGGTGCTCGATACTACTCCAAAAATATTAACGATAAATTTATGTTCAATTCACCCATTACAAGGAATGAACTTATTATTTGATCAAAATACTTTTCGAAACATTAGACGTGTTCACATTCTTGAAAGCATGCACTTGTGAACTTATCATTCAAGTTCAATAATCCACATAGGTACATAAGTATCATGTGAAACTTAAGTGTTTATGAAATACAACCTTTGAACTTCCCTCTTAACTTTACTTTGATTTGAAAAATAAGAGTTTAAGAACCAGGATTAGGACATATATAAGATTTCTCAACGATTTATAGAGATTTAGATAGTTGGTATCAAGAAAAGAATGACAACTCAAATCAAAGGAACAAGTACGGAGTGAGAACATAGAAGGAAAGTGTTCTAACACTCCGGGCGCTATGGTGGTGCATCACGCCAGACCAACTTTTTACTGGGGGTCTGATTGGGCACACTGTTGGCGCCTTGCGCCAGCCCTAGTGGAGCGTCGTGCGATGCCTGCTTTTACAGGGGTCTAATTGGGTGCACTACTGGTGCCTGCGCCAACCCTAGTTGCGCGTCGCGCCAGGCCTGCATTTACTGGGGATTTGATTGGGCGCACTCTTGGTGCCTTATGGGCATGATGCCCCACCCAAAAAACAAAACTTTGACGAATTTTTCTTGTTCAATTCATGGCCTAACTCATAAAAAATTTAATGGTTCATCCCTAAACACATTTAGATTCATAAACCCAACAAAACTCATTGAAACCCCACTCAAATTTTATCAAGAACATCACTTGTGCGCAAAACCCTCACTTTAACAATTTAACGAGACTCCATTGATAAGGTATGAAACAAAACCCTAAGAATCCTTAAGAACCTTTACATAATCAATTGCATGGACAATTTAATGAATGAAATACCTGTTTGGCACGAGGATGAACAAATCCATCAGTATGGGAAACCTCACGTACCTTGAAAGAACTAATTTCTTTGCGCTTTTCCCAAAACCTTGAAGAACTCTCGAAACCTTCTCTTTTCTCCTCTTGAACTTTTCCCTAACTTTCTTAAACGTTTTTGAGATAATGAAAATTGATTTTTATCAGCTTAGACCCCTTTGGGTAACCCAAAACCTGAGGGCTGAATGGGGTAAGGAAAAGACAAAAATACCCCTCCTTAAAATGGATAAAAAGGCCCTATTTAGAGAGGTTGTACCCATATGGGCATAACTCCTTCATCCAAACTTGGAATTTTGCAAACTCAATGTTGTTGGAAAGAGGACTTGAAAACCTTTGATTTGATACCTCATGGGCCACCTAACTCATTCTTTTGTATAAGTTATGATCGTTTGAAGTTGACCTATAAACTCAAAATTTTAAGAGTAACTTGCACGACTCTAAATTGTGTTCTTTCTAATTTATCTCTTTTGAAGACCGAGGTGTTATAATATCTCTCCGTTAGAAACATTTATCCTCGAATAAGACACTCTAAGGGATCCTTAAACACCTTCAAAGTTCATCCACAGAGGTTTTTGGATCCTTATTGAATTTTGACCCAAGGGACTCATTCTCAGAAATACTTGACTCTCGATGTATCATTCACATCTTGATGTCCGACTCCATAATGACCAAACTGTGTTGTCACCAGTTGAGTCAACATCAGAATAACATTTTTGAATTCAGCATTGGTGACATATCATTGAGGTGGTTGCACTCCTGGTGCATTAAGAATATCTTGATCTTGAGGATCAACATTTCTCCTAACAGTACGTTATCAAACATCTCTTTGTGGAGGCGTGATCTGAAAGTTAAGCATGCAAATGAATTAGAAGAAACTTTCATAGATTTGAACTCTATCGCATGAACATGAGTAGAAGAAATTGAAGTATTTCCTTAATGTTGTAGCCTCCCAATTAAGTATGTGGCATGCTTCACACCGATAACCAGGATTCTACAGACATTGTTTCATAGACACCCTAGGACTCTTGAACTCTGGGCTCTGATGACAATTTTGTCACGACTCGGGCCTATATCCTGGGTGTAACTAGCAGTCGAGAACCATTTTAGATCCACAAGCGAACCCTTGGCCTGGATACATGACTTACATGACATTAAACAATATGTGAAAGCTTAAGTAGGTGTACAATTAGACATTTAAGAAGGTCTTTAAATATTGTCTTTGCAAAATACATAACATGAACCATGAGTTAAAAACAATGGAAAACATCTACTCAGTTGGTATACGAAGCCCCTAACAATGTGAGATGGATGTCAGAACAAGACCCACTACACCTTCTAAAACTAGTAACTAAAATGAAATGGAGTCCCCTGAAAGAAAGGAGGCCTCACCAAATGCTTTTTGGTAGTGGATAATAATCTTAACAAATCAAATGTTCTATATCTGCATCAATGCTTCATTACTTTCCAAAGTTTCTGGGTCAATTTCTAATCCTGGTACTCCTTCTCTAACCCATTCAATGTCTTCTTCAGTTTCAAATGTTGTGTCATCCAATTGTTGTTCAGGCCACAACTCCATATGTCCTTCCTTATGCTCAATTGTTGGTGTGTCATCACCTAAATCATAAAAACCTCTTGGCTTAAGTTTAACAACAATTCGCCACTCCTTTTCCATAGGATGATCGACATAAAACACTTGTTGAGCTTGAGAAGCAAAGATGAATGGTTCATCTGATAACTGATGTCTTGTATATAGTAGATGATTAAAATTCACAAGAGTAAATCCATAATCATCTTAATCAATAAGCCCCTTGTTATTGTTCACCCATTTACATTTAAACAATACAAACTTGAGATTCTTGGAATAATATAACTCATGTCTGTGAGGATTCCATAAAAAGAAACCTCTGCCAATATGGGATTTTTATCTTTTGTGCTTGCATAACTTTGAGTGATAGCCTTTAACATAATACCACTATTTTGAGTTTTTCTCTTAACATCACGAGACTCTGTTAAGTATCTAACTCCATCACATATATACCCAGTCATTCTTTTTGCTTGTATTAATGGGCCAATAGCTAAAGTTTGAATATCCTCAGATATTTTTTCACCAGCCATATGCATCTTCTCGACCTAGCATTCAAAAATAAAGATGTGATCTAAAAGTTATAATTACCTATATAGTAATATATTAGCAAATATTTTAGCTAGTTGATACTTACATGATTTCTAAACCATAGTTGAAATCTTTCATTATGAATTCGATCCACATTATGTCTTGATAGACGAGGATTTTCCTTCTTGATTTCTTTTATATGACCACTACGGAAGTAAAACACATAACTATTTAATAAAAATTTGAAAGAAAATTATTTAATAATTAATTACTAAGTATAAATTATGATTTAATACTTACTCACGATATGAAGTTGTGGAGGTAGAATTAAATAAAACATATCTGTGGGCTTGAGCACGTGTAATGTCATCAAGCTTAAATCCTTTCTCTCTACTTGATCGACGACCATCTTGGTCCGTTGTTTCATTAGATAAAACATCATTTCTTAAAGGTGGATTAGACTTAGTCTCGACGTCATCTAAATACCATGAGCAAAACGTCATTAACTCGTCTATCCAACGTCCCTCTGCAATCGCACCTTCTAGATAACGTCTATTCCTTACGTAGTTTTTAAGACAAAGCAAGAACCTAAAATAGACAATTTTTAGAATATAAATACAATTTCTTGTAAGTATGATAAAAAAAATAACAAACTGATACCGTTCGATAAACCACATTGAGCGATATTGTGAAGGTCCTCCCAACATTGCTTCTTCAGCTAAATGGATAAGTAGATGTTCCATGATATCAAAGAAAGATGGAGGAAATATTCTCTCCAGATGACATAGAGTTATTGCAACTCGATCTTGGAGTTTTTCTAAGTCACCTATCTTCAGATCTTTTGAACAAATGCCCCTAAAGAAATTACTTAATTCAATCAATGGCTTAAGTACATTCATTGGCAGGAGATTCCGCAAGGCAATAGGAAGGAGTTGTTGCATTAAAATATGGCAGTCATGACTCTTCAACCCATGCATTGTGCGTTGCTTGAGATCAACACAACTTGAGATATTTGAAGCATATCCGTCTGGCACTTTCACATCTTTTAACACTTGTAAGAGGATGTCCTTTTGTGTGTTACTCAATGTGAAAGATGCAGGAGGAAGATAATATTTTCCATTAGCCTTTTTCTTAGGATGCAAAGCTTTTCGGATCCCCATCTCTTGTAAATCTAAACGGGAATTTAAATTATCTTTTCCTTTTCCATCAACATTCAATAATGTCCAAAATATATTATCAAAGACATTCTTTTCAATATGCATCGTATCAAGATTATGACGAATCATATTGTCTTTCCAATATTCAAACTCAAAAAATATGTTGTTTTTGTTCCATATATTTTGCACCAAATTATCAACATCATCCCATTTCCTTTTACGAGATTTGGCCAATAGATCTTTACCAAATTTATTTTTAATATTATTCAATTGCTTAAGAATCTCAATTCCCGTCAACCATTTAGGTGCTCCATCTAACTCCACAAGGCCATTTAATGCAACTTTATCTTTTCGAAACTTGTGTCCATGAGATAACCATCGCCTATGAGACATGAAACAATATTTTCGCCCATTTTTCAATCTTGTAAATTTAGTTTTGGTAAGACAACATGGACAAGCATATCTAGTTTTCACACCATATCCTGATAAGTTACCTAATGTTGGAAAATCACTAATTGTCCAAAGCAATGCTGCACACATTTGAAACATGTGATTGTTTGATGCGTCATAAGTGGCAACACCAACCCACAATTCTTTTAACTCATCAACTAAGGGTTGTAGATAGACATCAATATCATTACCTGGTGCACGAGGACCATCAATAATAGTTGATAATATCATATATGGTTGTTTCATGCACAACCATGGTGGCAAATTATATGGAATCAAGATAACAGGCCATGTGCTATGTGAGATAGACATAGACTTAAATGGACTAAAGCCATCTGAAGCTAATCCAAGTCTAACATTTCGAGGATCTCGAGCAAAGTCTGTATGCGCTTCATCAAATTTCCTCCAAGCAATACTGTCTGCAGGATGTCGCATTACCCCATCTCTAGTGCGACCTTCGGCATGCCATCTCATTTGAGTAGATGTTTTAGCCGACATAAATAGTCTTTGAAGTCGTGGTATTAATGGAAAATATCTAAACACCTTTGATGGAATTTTTGATGTTTCTGAACTGGAATTAACTGATGCACCTTTGAACTGTTTGTATCTTGGAGCTTTGCAAAACTTACAAGACGTTCTATCTTTCGTCTCATTTCAATAAATCATACAATCATTTGGACATGCATGTATCTTTTTATATTCAAGTCCTAAATCTTTAATAATCTTCTTTGAATCATAAAAGGACTTGGGCAATGTTTCACCTTCTGGAAGCACATCTTTTAACAACTCTAATAGTATGGAAAATGATTTGTTACTCCATCCATTGAGACACTTTAAGTGTAATAGACAAACAAGGAACGAAAGTAGTGAATACTTGCTTCCAGGATATAACTCACGTTCAACTTCTTTCAGTAAGCTAAAGAATTCTTCAGTCTTCTTATCAAAACCCATGTTATGTTGATTTGACCCATCAAATCCTTCAGCACTAGTGTCCATATCAACAAAATTAGATGTAGGAGGAATTCCAAATGCTTCAGGTAACATGTCTTGCATCTCATCACCTTTATCTAACTGATTGACCAATTTTGATGAAAATAGCTCCTCACCATGATAAATCCAACTAGTGTAACTAGTTAGAAATCCATCAACCACAATATGTTCAACAATCAAATCTTTTCGAACAAATTTCATATTACGACACTTTCGACATGGACACAATATTGTAGATGCATCTGGCCTATCTAATGATGCAAAATGAAGAAACTCTTTGGCTCCATTCTCATATAAGGGATCAAGCCTATTCAATATATTTATCCAACTTTTATCCATTAAATATATAACCTATAACATATAGCAAACAAGAATTATACCCTCATACTATTAAAGACTAATACCTCCATACTATTAAAGAAAACAACAAAACACATACTAACCTGCAAAGTCCACACAAAGAGTCCTGGAATTGATATCAATGTTCTTCCACTACGGTTGCTTTCTTTGTAATCTTCAAACTGCAAATCAATAGTTAAATTTCAACAAATCAATATAATGTATGAAGGCTAGTCATGTGAAATTATCAGTACTTGAGGTAATATATCACCTCAAGTAAATCAACTATTAAAAGAGAAGAGGAAGAGAGACAAAATGTGAATTTATGGTCGAATTCGGAGAAAAATGAGACAGAGGCTTGGTGGGAAGTGATGAGTCATTGTGATGTTTTTGATGGAATGTGGGTGAAAGATGATGCTAACCCTATGTATGAACCTAGTTCTTGTCCTTTTATTGATGAGTCATTTGATTGTTATCAAAATGGAAGGCTTGATAATGGTTAACAGAACTTTAGATGGCAGCCTAAGCACTGTAATATTCCAAGATAATAATGCTACTTTTGTTATTTATTGCATATGCATTACTAGGTAGGGGCAGAGCCACAATATCCGCCTAACATAGTTGCCTTGGTTCAAATCCTGTATTTATCTTAAAATCTGCTATTGACAGGTTCAAACTATGGAAATAACCTGCAAGATAATGCTGCATAGAATAAACCAAATATGGTCTGTCTATTCCTGGACCCTGCATATAGCATGAGTTGTGCACCAGTCTGTCCTCTTTTAGTTTTATGCATTGCTAGGCTTAATTTTGGTAATGTTTTTTTTTGTAAAATAGTATTACTTCACCTTTCAGGTTGAATGCCAAAGAAATGTTGGAGCTTTTGAGAGGAAAGCGATTAGTCTATGTCGGTGACTCTCTGAAAAGGATATGTGGGAATCAATGCATGGTTTGTCTGCTCAGAAATTCTGTTGAAGACAAGAATAGAGTTTTTGAGGTATCTGGAAGAGAGACTTTCTAGAAACAGGGTGCTTATTCTTTTATATTCGCAGTAAGTTTCATCACTTGTCTTCCGTTCCCACTAATGTCAAAAATTATCCAACAAAATGTTCTTGCATCTTAGTAAACGGGGGTGAAAGGACTGGTGGATGAGGAGAGAGTACAAGGTTAAGGATGTATCTATTGTAGATGGTGCATCTACATTGCCTGAAGCAAAGTTTTGGAAATTAACAATCTAACGGAACAATGAAGACAAAGGTAATGGTACATCATTACAGGTTCTTCTCCAAGACCTGTACATGATGCATCTAAATTGCTCGATAAAATAAGTCAATTAGGCAAAGTGACCAAGCTGACTTAACAAATAAGACGTCTTGCATTATATGTCATACAATAAACTGTTCATATGACTGTCAAACTAAAACTTTCACATTCTTCCTAGGTTTCCTGAAGTCTAATATAGAATATGCCAGAAGAGAGATTTAGCTTACAAACACCGACTCCGCAATAACAAACTCAGATACTCTCTAGTGTCAGGGTTGTGACAGAAGCTACAACTACCCAACTAGAATTACTAGCACAGTTATGTCAAGATCATCCAATCAACTACTACATCTCAAATCCAAACTATTTAGTGAATGAATTAGAAGTCTAGAACATAGAGTAACTGGATGAGGCATTGTTGCAGATATTCATCCAGAATCTAACTGAAAGAATTTGAAAGCCTAAGCACAGCTCAATATGCGCGTAACATCTTGCATAGAGATATACAATAAAATTTAATCCTCTTTCTAGAGCTGTAAGCATTTACTCTACTCCTACTTGGCTACTTGTTAACTGGAAAAAAGATCACACACCCCTATTTAATTTGTAACTAGATCCTTATTATATAGTGGTTTGTTTATTTTTACAACAACAAAAACATATCCGGTGCAATCTCATAAGTTGGGTTTTACAACAACAAAAACCATAGTCTCCTGATCCTATGACTGCCTAAAAATCATAATCATGTCGTGTAAGACCTAATAAGTGTGATCAACTAAGAACTAAACAACAGAATATGCAGTCAACTAATAGGAAAAATAATACAACATCACAGATAGACTCAAGGGAGCATCATTACCAAGAAGAAGAGCCAAATCAATAGTTAAAACAGTGGCAAACTCAAAAAAGAAGAATATGTGATCAAAGGTTTGTTTCAATAAGATCATGAGTTTGTATGAGATAAAAACCTTAGGATTACCTTTGGATGGAGATGGCTACCATGAATTTCTTTGCTTGAGCACTGTGTTGAGGGCCTGAGGCGATATACAAATAACTCTAGACTTAAGCATGAGTAGGGTTTTTTTTAGAGGGAAAAGTTAATCACGTGAAAAATTAGAGGGAAAAGTTAATCAATTTTCTTTTACTTTAATAAACTTAAGATGAAAGTTTTATTTTTAAGCTAAATAAGATGAAAGTTTTATTTTTAAACTAAATAAGATGAAAGTTTTATTTTTAAACTAAATAAGATGAAAGTTTTATTTTTAAGCATAAATAAGATGAAAATCTTATTTTTAAGCTAAATAAGATGAACATTTTATTTTTAAGCTAAATAAGATGAAAGTTTAATTTTTAAGTTAAATAAGATGAAAGTTTAATTTTTAAAACATATGGCACGATCATGAAAATGCGCACACAAAAATATTTAAGCTAAATAAGATGGAAATTTTATTTTTAAGAATGAATAACTAATGCTTGCAAAGAAACTGTAAAAAAAAAAAATTAAATAGGGTGAGGGTATTTTGTAAACAAACAACTTATCCTAAAAAAATTATACAATGAATATTAGTTTGAATATGACAAACCAAACAAGCAATAAAAAACTAATCCTATCATAACTTATCCTAGTATAACTTATTCCAGCATAACTAATCCCAGCATAACTAGTATTCAAACCAAATTGCTATAGTACATATGCCGCTAATATTATTCGTCCAATAAAATGATTTTCATGCAGATGGAGATAACGAATTTCAGGAAGATTAGAAACTCCTTAGGTATTTCGCCTTTCAAATTATTAAAACTTAGGTAGCTGAACAATATACCTATTAGTTATTAGTTGATCACCCTTATTAGTCTATAACAACAAAATAGATCTACGGATAAAGAGTACAGCTAGAGAAGCTAAAAAAGCACTCACAGATGTTAACAGCTTTAGTTCACCTATTTCAGGTGGAATGACATCTTGCAGCTTATTCCACCTTACGTTTCTGGTAAAAAGAATCAGGAGAAGGAACTAATCAATAGTGCAACATTACAACACACTAGGAAACTAGAGGATATAATTTCATATTAGTATGTTGGGTAAAATAGCAATAAAAGTAATTTTTAAAGTTAACATTCTGGACAAAGTGGAGGTTCCTATGGACAAAGGAAAACTTAAAGGTATGATAAGGGAAACAGAAAGTAGATATTGAGATATACATCTAATACAATCCTAAAAGAAGTATAAAAGGCCTTCTTAGTTAAGGGACATTTCCTGTAACAAGGTGTGGCAGGTTTGATTTTTTGGAATATAATACAAGACTGTTACCTTCTCAAAAAAAAAGTGAAGGGACATTTCCTTGACAATAAACCTACTCTCTTTTTATTTTCTAGAATATAAGCCTACGAGTATATGTTAATCCTGAAACTGGAGAAACAGGCTATTCGGAGACGGAGCATAAGCCCTAAACATAAATATCACTTCATAATAGCTACTGAATATAGATACTTCAATAGGAGTATACAAGTAAAGGATTACACAATATTTTAAGACGCTTCAAACGCCCAATTTGAGAAGGAAGAGGGCCTGTCAGCTTGTTATTATGCAGATCCCTGTCATATGAAAGAATATTATGGATTAGGAAGTTCAGAATGAAAATCAAAAGATCCAACAGTATAGGCACAATTGTCCACTAACTATTGCCTTAAATAGTAGTATCAAATTTGAAGATAATGACTACACACATTATAGATAACTCCCACGTTTTTGGGGATAACAGTCAACACCCAAGCAGAACAATTCTTTAAGTTGGTTAATGAACAATTTAAGACTGGAGGGTGTAAAAACATCTATAATGGAACTTAGGGAATCTTCTCAATTTGTATGAGGTTAAAAAATCTGTTTAGATTCTAGTACAAAGACAGAGAAGAAGAATCTTACAGTCTAGTAAGATCTAATAAATTAGTGACAGCAGTAGGAAATGGGCCAACAATTGGAACAAGATAAACTTCCCTGCAAGTGGTAAAACAAAAAAGAACATTGTAAAAAAAGTGACAAGTAAAGATATTTCAATTCTGTGAGTAACTTCATACAGATTTGAACCTTAGTTAGAGAAAAGCTACTTAGAACTGGTGAAGCAAAACTTACAATTCAGTAACTACTCTATAATCACCCTGCGTTGAACATGTAACACCAGACCATGGAGGTAAATCACCATCTCCACAAGGATCATCTCCAACCCATGCATACACCACTCTCCATCCAAGAGATGCCTTAATTTCATTCAGAGCTTTCACTACAGTCATATTCCAGAAGTTCAAATTAGTCCATGTAAACATGTACATTCAGGTACTACAACAACTCCTTGGTTTTCTCATGAATGCAATCAATGGCCTTAAACTGCTTAAATCATTTTAATGAAATATTAATAGAGAAAGAGTGGATATAATTGGAACTCCACAACTCTAAGTGTAGAGAGTGAAGCTATTAAACTTATGATCATGGGCTCAAGCCTTACAGTGGACATTCTTATTTCTGACAAGCATAAAAATACTCGTGATCGATTATATACTTACTTATACTACAATTTAATTAACTAATACTATGTAATCATGGAGAGATATTAAATTGACATTTATTGAATGATAAATCGGTTTAACTTTCCAAGGATAGCTATACTTACCTGTAACAACTAGAAAATAGAATTCTATGAGCAAAAAAAGGGGAAAACAGTTATAGTTAATGACACTCCAAGGCACTGATTTAGTTTATTGATTGCAGATAATAGATAATACATTGTATAGATCAAGACTATACATCAGGTGAATAGTTATTCCTCAACAAAATCAACAAACTGCAAAGCTAGAATTAATAAACCAAGAAAATAGACATTCAGAAAAAGGAAATTACAGTTAGAAAAGATGAAAACACAAAACTTATGGATTCTTTCATTCCACTACAGGGGTCAATTCCTTGGAGTATTGCTATAGATGTCCACGCAATTGAGTTGTTAAGACGAGATAAGGAAGTCCAGTTTTGTCATGTTCTTAGGGAAGGAAACAGATTGGCTGATTATTTTACTAACTTAGTGTTTGATTTTTCAGGAGACATCCAATTTAATTCTTTCCAGGAGGTCCCAATTTCAGGGAGGCACATCATTAATTCAGATAAATCGCAGATACCATACATCAGAACAAGGACCATACAAAGAAGGAATTATTGATGGTAGTCAACTGACTACTTCTACAACAAGTTTCACAATTCACTTTTACTTAAAGTTTTAATAAAAATGAGGCATAACTGAGCTGGAGGATCTAACAAAGTTCACAATGCTTGAAGAAATTTCAGTTTGATTACGATCTCATTGCACCTGGTGAGAGCTTGAGGTGTCCAACATGGTATCTAATCAAGGCATATGAATATGTTAAAGTCTAATAGTAAAGCTTTGCCAGTTTCAGTTCACAAAATAACAGACAAAACCATCAGCATCAGGTTCAAATATTGGCCAGTCATAGGTGCTCATTCAACGAACGCTTCCGACATTTTCTTATTAAGTTCTCTACTTTTCCTCTCACTGGTGGTGGTATTGATTCCGTTAGGAATTCAACCCATTGTATGAGAGACAGTGAGGATTTAATCAAGCGAGCTGATTTTGGAGTCTAGCATAAAGAATCGAAGAGAGACACCTACGATGATGGAGATTTGTGAGCATTTCGGACCAAACGAGACATTGAAACAAACACATCTTCTTAAGGTGGTTTTGGACATTAACAATCCGGTGGTCTGAAAACTCACAATGAAGTCAGAAAATGATACAATCGAAGATTCTAAGCTTATAAAGATGATATAGCTTACTCGATTCAGCTAAGATGCAAGTTTTATCTGTGTCTATGTTGTTGAAAAAGATGGTGATCTTCATCCCAAAACTAGAAATTGCGGATCCGTCGTCGAAAGCCTGTTCACGATGGTCTGGTTGCGATACCAACAAAGGAATTTGGTTACAGAGTGACTTTTCCTCTTCTAGCTAGCTTAAGCCCCTTTTCCCTTTTGCTACATTCATTTGAGTATGTTCCTTTATGGAATGGACCAATTTCTTTTATTCTGTTGTTGGTTGGATTTCTTTCCTTTTTTTATATATAATAATAAGGCCTGATGGCCATTTGACCCAAAAAAAAAGAAAACAATAAGTTGAACTTAGAAAATGCATAAAATCTTCCACTACAAATATGTCTTTAGTTGTGTCAATTTTAATTTTTTTGATCAGTCTTCTTATTTGTTGGATTGATTTTTGACCCGTTCTATAACTCATTACCGGACTTGATTCAAGCAAATTTAAATTGGATTGGGTCTTGACCTGTTTGTTGTCTTTACCCATTAAAAGATTTTATAATTGGGACTCGCATGTACAACCTTAATTATTTGTTGTTTTTATGATAAATATATTTTTCTATTAAAAATTTACATTTTATAAATACAATTTTTATTTATGATTATATTATAAGTTGAATTTATTTGCGTAATTATTATGTTTATTTATATTTTGATTTCTCTTAAAATGTTCACTTTCCAACATAACTAATCTCAACACATAACTAGTATTCAAACAAAACGACCCCTAGAAGATATCTTTTAGCGGTTATAGTACATATGCCGCTAATTATATATTTCAGCTTAAAATGTTGTAGTCATTTAACAGTACTTTTCATCATATGTCATAAAAATCAATGACATTTTTCAACATATGACATAATATATTCGATATTTGTATAAAATGTCACTGTTTTAGCGAAATTTTCACTATATGTCGATCGAATCAATGACATTTTGCAATAAATGTCATAATATATTTGACAATTGTATGAAGTGTCGCTATTTTAGCAACAATTTTGCTAAAAGTCGCTAAAATCAATGACATTTTACAACAAATGTCACTATTTTAGTGACATTTTACAACAAATGTCACTATTTTAGTGACATTTTTTCTAAATGTCACTAAAATCAATGACATTTGTCAGTAAATGTCATAATATATTCGACATTTATATTAAATGTCACTATTTAAGCGATATTTTTTCTAAATGTCACAAAAACCAATGACATTTTGTAGTAAATGTCATGTTATATTCGACATTTGTAGCAAATGTCATCATTTAAATGACATTTTCGCTAAATGTCGCTAAAAACAACGACATTTTGCAATAAATGTCATTATCATAGTGACATTTTGGACCAAATGTCATTATTTTTATGATATTTGATACCAAATGTCATTATTTTTACAACATTTGACATCAAATGTCATTGTTTTATGACATTTTGTTCCTAAATATTGTAAAATTCTTTATTTTCCGACATTTGTTTCAAATGTCACTAAATTAATGTCGTCGTATGTACATTTTCTTGTAGTGACTTCCGAGTTATAATCGGAAGGTATGGGGCCTATTGCCTATATTTATACGTATAAGAGACAGATGGCTACAAGTTGGCGAATATGATCCCGGTTCGCTACCGGAAGGCACCATCATTGCTAGCATTTGGTTGGATATGACATGCATTTGCATCTATATATATATGTATTCATGACATACGATTATGCAAGCATACCATGCATATTTAATTTATATAAGGTTTGATGTCAGCCATGGTGGCTACTAGAGTTTCTGTTTCAGGTGGTATCTTTATTCCCCTTTTTACAGTAACTATTTATTATTCTATTTTCTTCCTTACATACCAGTACATTTTTATTTGTACTAACATCCCGTTGCCTGGGGACGCATTTTTGTTTCGTGTGTGCAGGTCACGGTAGGGATTCTGATTGACCTCTCTTCTAGGATTTGGGGTTCAGCTGTGAGTTGGTAAGCTCCACTTCTTCCTGGAGCTCTCATAGGATGTTACTTTTATTGTACAGTTTGGATATAATCGAGGCCTTGTCCCGACCAGTGCTTATGTCACTCATAGAGGCTATTGTGGACACAATAATATGGGTTTCTTTCTGTAGCTTCCAGTTTCCAGCCACATAGGCTTGGCATGTATAGATATGTATGTATGTGTGTATATCTTCATTGTAGCCTTGTCGGCTAGCTAGTACCTTATGATCTTTGGCTTGTCTACCTTCGTCTATATGACTTACCGATATTCAAGTTATGACCTTAAGGGTCCAGTCATAGTAATTTAGATGTTATGCTACCCGACCTTCTAGGTCCTCAGTTGAGTCAGTTGGTATGTTTATGTGGCTAACTCTATTGCATAAGGTGTCGAGTTCCAGTTACGCCTTTTATAGTTTGGGGCGTGACAAACTTGGTATCAGAGCAGGTCGTGTCCCAGGGAATCCACAAGCCGTGTCTTGTAGATTCTTGTTTATGGGTGTGTTCTGCACCACACTTATAATCAAGAGGCTATAGGGCATTTAGGACTGGTTACATTTCTTTCAATTTATAAATCGTGCTATAGAGATAGGTTATAAGTACATATGAAATCTGAATCGTGCTTTGTGTTTCACATACGCTCAAGAGGCTTTACCGAGGTTTTATGGTAGAGACTATTTGTCATCAAAAATTTGTAGACGTGATAGGGCTAGAGATGCTTGACTTTGTTATTGATATGGGCATGGATTGGTGGAAACCTTATTATGTCGATGTCGACTACCAAGAGAAGACTGTTAGATTTCAGTTCGAGGGGAAGTAGTATGAGAATGGAAGGCTAATGGTGCAATGCCAAAATGCAAGTTTATTTGCAATCTTTAGGCAAAGAAATGTTTGCCAATGGTTGTACTTGTCATATTTTCTGAGTGAGTTTAAGATATTGATGTTGAGACCTCGAATCTTCAGTTATTATAGTGGGCAATGAGTTTCTAGGTGTATTTCTAGGTGAGCTTCTTGCTATTTCCCTGGAACAAGCATCAAATTTTTCTATTGATACATTACGAGATGCTCTGCCGATATCAATTTCCCCATTTAGTATTGCACCAGCAAAATGGAAGGATATATTATATAACAGCTTTAACAGGA